CTTCTGCACAACAAAAGAAACTCCAAAAAAATTAAAAGGCAGCAAGCTACATGGGAGAATATATTTACAAACAACATTTCCAAAATGGATTTATATCCCAAATATATAAAGAACTCTTACAACTCAACACAAAACAAACAACCCATTTAAAACACAGGCAGAGGACTTGAACAGAAACTTCCCCCCAAAAAGACATACATATGGCTGATAGAAATATGAAAAGATGTTCAACTTCACTAGCTATTAGGGAAATGCAAATCAAAACTACAATGAGGTACCACCTCACACCTGTTAGATTGGCTATTATCATAATTAAGACAAACATTAACAAGCCTTGGAGAGGTTGTGGGGAAAAAGAAACCCTCATTCACTGCTGATGGGAATGGAAACTGCTAGTCACTACAGAGAACATTATGGAGGTTCCTCCACAAAGTAAGAAGAGAGTTACCATGTGACTCAGCAACCTTTTTTCTGGGTATCTACCTCCAGTATTGGAAAACACTATTAGCAAAAATATATGTACCCCTATGTTCATTGCAGCACTATTGACGGTGGCCAGGACCTGGAGACAAACCAAGTGTCCTTTGAGAGATGAGTGGACAAAGAAGACATGATACATATATACAATGGAATACTACTCAGCCATAGGAAAAAATAAAATATTGCCATTTGCGCCAGTATGGATGGACCTTGAATATGTCAGGCTAAGTGAAACAAATTGGTCAGAAAAGGCTAAGAACCCTGTGATTTTACTCAAATGTGGAATATAAAACTGAATCTTATAGACACAGAAAACAGTATTGTAGTTACCAGAGAGATGGGATTTAGGGGAGAAATAAAGGGACAAAGGGGACCAAATCAATGGCGACATGTAGGAGACCGTTCTGCATGGCATGGGCCCAGCTCGCACTCGGAGATGCACAGGATCCATGCCCACAGACAGGTTCTCCCATGGGGAATCAGGCCTGCAATGTACCTAGGCCACTTTGAGTCTTGCTCTTGCTAAAAACCTCCCTCACCCCTAATTGAGGACATTTACTGCAAAGCAACTTCCTAAAATCCATGCTAAACCTTCCAAGGATGAGTGTAACCAGTTCAACCACTTTTGCCTTTTCATGGGCAAATACCCTCTTCTGTGATGTGATTAGCTGCATTGGCTCCTTGGTTTTCTGTAAAAGGCAACCACCTAAAGTGAACCTGTGCATAGTAAATGAGGGCCATCATGTAATGTGGCACGAAACCCAATAAAGGCCAGTCACAGCAAGGCCCAAGGCTTTTGCTCCTCATGAGAAAAAAGCCATGCTGTCCCTTTTCCTCCCTGTAGTCCGTGTGAATGTCTCATTTTCTCCATAATGACGTGAACACTGTGGGCCAGTGTCTGCATCAGTGACAGAAGATGATTTGACTTTGGACAGTGAGCACACGATGTAATGTTCAGATCATGTTTCATAGAAATGCACACTTGAAACCAACATAGTCTTATTAACCAATGTTACCCTGATAAATTTAATAAGAAAAAAACCAAAAATAAATACAATAAGTATAGATACAAGCAAAGAAAACTTAATGTCACTAATCATCTGGAAAATGCAAATCTATAACACGATTGTATTCAGAGGCCAGAGGACTCTGATTACTTAATAAATATCAACATGCAGAAAATTATTCCATTACCATTTTCTTTGTAATTACCAAGTAAGTCATCATGTTGCTCTCTTGAACCACAAGATAATTGGAGCATGTTCCCCTTGGGGAAATTCTCGTGGTTTTCATCAACAGTTGAATAAGGGAATATAAATGATCTCAATTACTGTGTTCATAGTGTATCTAAACCCACATTTGCTGATACACAGGTAAGAAGAGAAAAATATATGTCACTTGAAAAATAGTTTATGAAGTATGGCCTAAAAATGTGAAGGTCCAATGTTAGAAAATCTCCAGTACTAAACACTTTAGTTGCCGCCTATGGCAACTATTGAATTGGTTTGTAGAGTTAAGTAAGAGTTTAATAAATTGAGTGTATGTTTTCATTTTTATGATGGAAAAAGACAGATCAGATTAAAGCAAGAAAAATAAAGAAAACATTAGACCTATTCAACTACCTGGAGGCTTGTATTTGCTCTAATGAAGAAACAATCTACCATCCTTTATTTTCCTAGAATTGTGATATAGAATTCATTTTAAGATAATGCTATTTCATAGTTTCTCTAGTCTTAATGTTTAAAATTTATCTGAATATATATCAGGAGTCATATTTTATTTCACTGGGAGTGACAATAGGAGAGGGCAGCTACAAAGTGAGGCCATGATACTATAGGAGACAGTGTAACACTGGGAAATGTGCACGCACTCTGAGGGAGATGCAGGCTTGATTGCTGGCTCTGGTACTACTTAGCTGTGAGAGTTGCTAGAAAGGTGAAATAACCCCATGTGCACAAAGCTCCATTTCTGCTGCATGTGCTCACTGCATGACTATTATTTTTCTTTTCTTTGCCTACTTAGTGTTTCAGTGTTGAGGCAAAGATATCTGGGATATTTTGCCTTCTTTTAAAACTTTATTTTTAGATTGTTCCATGTATCTATGCCTCTATTTTTATTTTGTTCATTAGTTTATTTTGTTCCTTAGATTTCACATATAAGCAAGTTCAGATGATATTTGTCTATCATTGACTGGCTTATTTCACTAGCATAATAATCTCCAGGTCCATCCATGCTGCCTCAAAAGGTCAGAGGTCTTTCTTATTTATGGCCCATGTAGTATTCCATTTTGTAAGAGTAACACGGTTTTTTTATCCACTCATCTAATGATGGGAACTTGGGCCATTTCTACATCTTGGCTGTTGCAAATAACACTGATATGAACATAGTGGGTGCATATACACTGTTGAATTGCTGGTTTGGTACTCCAGATATATTTCCATAACTGGGATTGCTTGGTGAAAATGCAGACTGACAGCTCTCAGAGGGGGGCAGTAAGGGAGTGACTGAATGGGAGAAGGTGAAGGGATTATGCAAACAACAGACATGCGTAACCCATAGACACAAACAACAGTGCAGTGATAGCCTGAGGGAAGTTGGGGCAATGGCGGGGTGAAGGTGTCAAAAGGGGAAAAAATGGGGACAACTGTAATAATCTAAACAATAAAAAATAAAATTTAAAAACAATTAAAAAATTGGTTTGCATTAATTTTAAAAGGCAATGCTTTGTTACTAAATTCTCCAAGAATCAGACATCTTCTCTTTATACCTCTAAGTGTTTTCAACATATTTTAATATTGACTTAGCTGTGCCCAGTATAAATTTTATTTTGGCATCTAGTAAAATGTAGCTGAAGTATTTAACACTGTAGTCTTTCACTATCTTACCCAAGTGAAATCAAGCTCACAGTAATGTAGCCAATGGAATGGTGAGCTGTGTGGGTAGAGAAAATAATCATAATCAAAATATGATTTGCTGAGTTTCATCCTGAAATAATGTTTCAGTGTGTGTCAATAATCACACAGCAAATACATTAAAGGGAGACAAAAATGAACTGTCTGGCTCAAGGCTCTGGTCACATATTTTTATGTGGTTAGGCAAAGTATAGTTCTGCGACCTAGTATTTGCTGATGTTTTAAAATAAATACATGTGATGACAAAAGATCAATATACAGTCATGTTAAATTTGCAACCAAAAATGATGTATTTAAAAGAAATTGTGTCATACATTTATTGCTCTGCTCGGCTGTATACTGTCATATCTGCTTGCTCATTCAAACATATTGCTATTTGAAAGAAGAGTGAAGTTTGAAGAAAAAGACTACATGGACACACGATATTTAATTTTGAACCTGGCCAATGAACACATACTTTGAAATCAAAATTTTATGTCATATGTCTTGCAGGTGTATCACTGAATTGATGTCAAGAATTGTTTGAGGCTAACTTTTTCTTGCAAATCTTGCTTATATTTTTTGAAAATAGATTTTATCTCATTCACCAAAGTTTACTTTTTATTTCTTAATTTTGTTTAATTCACTCATGGGCCATCATCCTTAAAAAAAAATCTTGATTCATTCTTTTGGATGGATCCAAGAGGATATAATAGAGTTCGAAAATTTTTAGCAATTAACTCATAAACTGTAACAGACCAGGACACATCTACTCTACAGAACCAAGGTAATTCAACAATTCTATTTACAGAATTGTCAAGATTCAAGTTTATTAACATATTTTTGCCTTTTAATTTTTACTCAAATATTATAGAATAAATAAATATTAATGTTCTCATTCTACAGGAAACTAGCTTAGAGCATTCACTTTACACCATTACTGAAAAGTCTAGTATGCTGACACTCTATTCCAACGTTGTGGACACTGATGCTACCTCATGTGTGTCATTGTCAAAAGAAATTTATTTTGTTTATTTTATTTTATTTTATTGCAATCGTTGTTCAAGTAAAATTTTCTGCTTTATACACCCAACCCAGCCCAGCCCCCAGTGCTCCCCACCTCCCTCACTTTACCAACCCCCTTAGTTTTTGTCCATGTGTCCTTTATACTTGTTCCTGTAAACCCCTCCCCCTTTCCCCTGATATTCCCTCCCCTCCCTGCTCTGGTCATTGTCAGCTTGTTCTCTATTTCAGTGTCTTTGGTTTTACTTTACTTGTTTGTTTGTTTTGTTGATTAGGTTCCTGTTAAAGGTGAGATCATATGCGGTAAAAGAAATTTATTTTTAAACAATCACCTTGTTTTTTAATGTCACTTATTTTTGACAACAGCTTTAAAAAAGCAGTTGTAAACTAACCAGTTGACCTGATGGTTTTGGAAATGACATGGATTCACATACTGAGTGAACACTCATCTTTTCCATTTAATTTTGCAGTGAGTGGCATGGACACTTGACCCACTGTCTTGTCAATGTCTTCTCATGTGAAAGTGGCAATTTTTACATTGCAAAAACAGAAATACGAGAACATAGCTCATGTTCCCTTGTGTCATTCAGTCAAAGTTCTGTTTATTCTTTTTTGTAGTAAATGAGTTGTAATTGTACAAATATCTTTACATTTGTTTTGTGAGGTTCCAACATGAAGAATGTCACTGAAGTTACTACATTTGTACTGAAGGGCTTCACAGACAATCTTGAACTGCAAATTATCTTCTTCTTTCTTTTTCTGGCAATTTACCTGTTTACTCTGATGGGAAATTTAGGGTTGATTGTATTGGTCATTGGGGATTCCCGGCTCCACAACCCCATGTACTATTTTCTGAGTGTGTTATCATCAGTGGATGCCTGCTATTCTTCAGTAATTACTCCAAATATGTTAGCAGATTTTCTGTCAAAGAATAAAGTCATTTCACTCCTTGGATGTGCAACACAGATGTTTCTCGCTACTACTTTTGGGACCACGGAATGCTTCCTCTTGGCTGCAATGGCATATGATCGCTATGTGGCAATCTACAACCCTCTCCTGTACTCAGTCAGCATGTCACCCAGAGTCTATGTGCCACTCATCATTGCTTCCTATGTCAGTGGCATTCTGCATGCTTGTGTGCACACAGTGGCCACATTTAGGCTACCCTTCTGTGCCTCCAATGAAATCAGACATGTCTTTTGTGACATCCCTCCTCTCCTTGCTATTGCCTGTTCTGACACTCACACAAACCAGCTTCTACTCTTCTACTTTGTGGGCTCCATTGAGGTGGTCACTGTCCTGATTGTCCTGATCTCCTATGGCTTCATTCTGTTGGCCATTCTGAGGATGCGTTCTGCAGAGGGGCGGAGAAAAGTCTTCTCTACGTGTGGCTCTCACCTAACTGGAGTGTCAATTTTTCATGGAACCATTCTCTTCATGTATGTGAGACCGAGTTCCAGCTATGCTTTGGACCATGACATGATAGTGTCGATATTTTACACCATTGTGATTCCTATGCTGAATCCTATCATCTACAGTTTGAGGAACAAAGATGTGAAAGAGGCAATGAAAAGAGTGTTTGGGAAAAATGGGTGTATCAATACAGTACATTTTCAAGCTAACTATTAAATTGAATCAAATTAAAACTAATGTTCATTGTCTTGATATCAAAATGAGTATTTGTTCTGTTGTATTAGTGCTTTTCTCTTCTTCTTAGACCTTTTTGTATAAAGATCATAGTCATACCGCCACCTCTGCTGTTTCTACACAGGCTAAAAAAGTTATTCATTTGCCTTTTAAATCATTCTCAGGCATACACACACACACACACACACACACACACACACACACACTGATACTGATTGTAGTAATTTGTCAGCCTGTCATAGCAAAGCACCACACACTGGTGGCCTAAACAACAGAAATTTATTTTTCACTATTCTGGAATCTAGGAACCTTAAAGCAAAGTTAAGCTAGGGCTGCTTTTTCTGAGGCCTTTTTTCTTCACTAGTAGATGGTTGTCTTTTTCCTCTGTCTTCACATCATTTCTCTGAGCTTTTCTGTGTCTTATCCACTCTTCTTATAAGGAAACCAGTCATTAGATTAAGGACCAATCTAAAGATTTCATTTTAATTTAATTATTTCTACAAAGACCCTATCACCAAATATAATCACATTCTAAGGTCATAATATCAACATATGAATATTGGTATATAGTACATATATTTACACACACAGTCACTCATGCACTTAATATTTACCTTAAACTGTATAATATAGACTTTATTCTCATATTACCCAAATCATATAAGTTCCAATCATTGTAATTATGAGTGACTTTATAATTCTACCTGACTATCTTGTGGAAATACCACCCAATCAATGACAAAATCACATCTCACATATTTCCATACCACTCTCCATGGAATCATTGGCTTAGATCACAGTTCAAAGCATTGTGCTCCATCCTTAGGTCAATGTCCTGGCAGCAATGCATAGTTAAAGGTCACAGATATGTTTAAATTTATGGTGTCATTACTATGCTGATATGTGAGGGTGTATTCTTCTCCCTTTTAGTATTTCATCTACAGCATGAATACAAAAACCATTCTTTAATTTTTCACAGAATACAGTGACTATGCATTAACACTTATGAAAATTATGCTTAAACTCAAAAGTGACAGAAGACAAGCACAATTCAGAGAGTTGGTACTTTGGCTGGCAGATTGGGCTAGTCCCACACCTGAACCCTAACCGGTCTTTATGAGTGAAGAAGAAAACACGGACTTGCACAAAATATTTGCTAAAGATCTATGCAATAGAGAACATGCATCTAGAATATATAAAAGCATCTTAAAAACATATAAAAACTCATAATAAATGGCCATACTCTTAAATAAATGTACACAGATGGTTAATATGTCCATGGAAAAGTGCTAAATAGTATCTTAAGTAAGGGAAAGAATTTCAACTGAAGATTGTGATCAAATGTATCTATGAGGTATAATGAGTTAGAATGAGTAAAGTTTAAAACTACAATAATAACTGACAATATAAAGATGTTATTAAGGTTGCTGAGCAACTGGAACTCTCATCCATTGCTAGTAGGAATGCAAATGGGACAGCCACTTGAGCAAACCATCTGACAGTTTCCTAAGATGTGAAACATACACCTACCATATGAACCTGAGATCTGATTCTGCCATTTATCCAAAAGAAATGAAAACATAGATGAACACAATGACGCGGGTTCCAGTTTTTATAGTGGCTATATTCACCATATTTCCAAAGTGAAGGCAGTTCAAATGTCCAACAAATAGAGAATAAGTAACTAACTGTGCTACATCCTTAAAATGGGATACCACTCAGCAATTTAATAGAAATAACACTATTGGTATATTCGGGTACACAAATGAATCCCATATATCCTGTGCTAAGTGGAAGAATACAAGTTTAAAAGATGACATTGTGATTACACTGTTATTACATTCTGGAAAAGGTGAAAATATAAATATGGAGAACCCACTCATGGTTGCCAAAATGACTACATAGTGATATGATGGACTTTTTAGAATGGTGCAAATGTTCTCTAATTTGATATTAATTATACAATTCTATGTGTTTTACAACATTCATATAACTTACACCTATAATTAGTGGAGTTTTATTAGTTAATATTAATACTTAAGAACTCTACCTTTAAAAAACTAGATATTACATAAATTAATCTTCGCATCAGAATATTTGCTTTGTAGGGGATATATGACTACCGAAATGTGTAGGGAGACATTTGAGTACTATCAATATTTTGCTCCTTACTCTTAGTTTTCTTTATAGGATTACAGTCAGATTGTGAAAATTATAGGATCATGGTCATATGGTGAAAATTCATCAAGCTATACACTACATAAAAATACTTTTCTACATGTACATTTTCTTCCTTAAAAGAAATAAACCCTCATTTTGTTGCATATTTTCTAGTAAACTCAATAAGCCCTTGATACATAAATGTCCTTTGAATGTCTTATCTTGTAACTAATTGTCCTATTATTGAGAAAGTTAACATATTTTTGCTATATAATTTTATATTGGTCTAAATTTGGGGGACATTTTGAAAAGTACAGTTTGTGATTTTTCTCAGTCTCTCTCAGTCTCTCTCAAACTCTTTCTTCATTTCAAATTGGTTTTTCTCCACACTTGCTTTTTTCGTCTCTTTCTTTAACCATGCTTTCAACAGTTGCCACTCACACTCTTCTATTTTAATAAATTATTCCTGATTTATATATTTTTTTCATTTCTAGTTAATTTCTGTGTTCTCTTCTACCCAAGGTTCATTGAGAAATAATTGACATTTATCAGTATATCATTTTAGAGTACATAGAATAATGTGTGTTCTCATTACCCTGCTTTCAAGTCCTCCTGATGTCTAGCTTCTCATATCTACTAACATGTTTTATTATTCTGATAAAACATAAGAATTCTGTTAAATTTTCTTTACTATTATCTTAAGATACCAAATTGCCATATTAGTTTGCATGGGCATAAGTTTTCAACTCCTTTGGGAGTCCATACTAGCCAAAGTGATCTAAAGATTCAATGGAATCCTTACCAAAACACCAATGGCATATTTACAGAAAAGAAAGGACTTCCTAACATTCTTGTGGTACTCAGGATATGTTAAGAAAGACCAAAACTGGAGAAATAACACTTCCAGCTTTAAGAAAAGATTACAAGACTACAGTAATTGAAGAATATGGTATTGCTACAAAAACAGATATGTAGACCAATGAAACACAATAGAGAGACCAGAACTAAACCCACCCACTTATGGTCAATTGATCTTTGACAAAGGTGTCAATATTACATTATGGGGAAAGGATAGTCACTTTTTAAAAAATGTGTAAGAAAACCTGGATGTCCACATGCAATGAAATAAAATTTGACCCTTATCTTACAGCATAAAAAAAAATCAACTTAAACACTTAAACAGAACACCTGAAACTTTCAAACTCTCAGAAAAATCAAAGGAAAAATCTTGACAGTGGACTTGCCAATGATTTTATGGACACACACCATAAACCATAAGCACAGCCAACAGTAGCAAAATTAGTTAAGTGAGAATAAATACAACTAAAAATCTTCTGCAGAACAAAGGGAAAAATCAAGACAGTGAAAAGGCAAATTACAATATGGGAGGAAATATTTGGAAACCACTTGAATAGATATTTTCCTCTTTTTTTTATTTTAATCATTGCTCAAGTACAGTTTTCTTCTTTTATTCCCATTCCAGCCCAACCACCCAACCCTCCCCACTTGCCTCCCATTACCACCCTCCCCCTAGTTTTTGTCCATGTGTCCTTTCTATTTGTTCCTGTAAACCCTTCCAATTCTCCCATGAAATTCCCTCTTCTCTCCCCTCTGATCACTGTCAGCCTGTCCTCTATTTCAGTGTCTTTGGTTATATTTTGCTTATTTCTTTGTTTTGTTGTTTAGGTTCCTGTTAAAGGTGAGATCATATGGTATTTGTCTTTCATTGCCTGGCTTATTTCTCTTAGCATAATGCTTTCTAGCTCCATCCAAGCTGTTGCAAAGGGTAAGAGCTCCTTCTTTCTTTCTGCTGCATAGAATTCCATTGTGTAATTGTACCATAGTTTTTTGATCCATTCATTTACTGATGGGCATCTAGGTTGCTTCCAGCACTTAGCTACTGTAAATTGTGCTGCTATGAACATCGGGGTGCAAAGGTTCTTTTGGATTGGTGTTTTAGTGTTCTTAGGATATAGCCCCAGCAGTGGAATTGCTGGGTCAAAAGGCAGATCCATTTTTAGTTTTCTGAGGAAGTTCCATACTGCTTTTCATAGTGATTGTACCAGTCTGCAGTCCCACCAACAGTGCACTAGGGTCCCTTTTCCTCCACAACTTCTCCAACACTTGTTGCTTGTTGCTTTATTTATGATGGCCATTGTGACCGGTGTGAAGTGGTATCTCATTGTGGTTTTAATTTGAATCTCTCTGATAGCTAGCAATATTGAACATCATTTCATGTGTCTTTGGATCTTCTTTATGTCCTCCTTGGAGAAGTGTCTGTTCAAGTCCTTTGCCCATTTTTTAATTGGCGTGCTTGTCTTCTTAGAGTGGAGTCATGTAAGGTCTTTATATATTTTGGAGATTAAACCCTTGTCTGAGGTATCATTGGCAAATATGTTTTCCCTATATTTTTCTAAAAAAAAAAGACATACAAATGCCCAACAGAGCAATATGAAAAAATATAAGATTTGACACAATAAATTAAATAGAAGAAAACATAAGTGCTAAACTTATGGACCTTGGTCTTAGAGAATATTTTATGAATTTGACCCCAAAGACAAGAGAAGCAAAGGCAAAAATAAATGAATGAGACTATACCAAACTAAAACACCTTTGCACAGGAAAGGAAACTGCCAACAAGAAAAGCAATCATCCAAATGGGAGAAGGTATTTGCAAACTACAACTGTGACAAGGACTTCATTTCCAAAATATCTAAAGAACTTATACAACTCAATGTCAAACGATTGTGTTAAAAATTGGGCAGAGGACCTACAGACACTTCTCGCAAGAAGACATACAAATGGCCAACAGAAATGTGAAA